TTTAGGCATCATAACTTATTGATTTAAAAAGTTATAAATTAATAAAATATTAATCAAATCAAACAAATTCAATTTAATTGATGTAACCCTAACACATTACTGTAAGGACAAAACCAGGCAAGCTTTACTTGCATAGAAAAAGGTCTAAAAAGGCAAAATCGCTAGAAATGCACCAAACTTATCTCATGCCTGTCTTCCAATCAGCGATAAATGCATGTACTTAATCCAATCGAATGTAGCTAAAAAGTCAAAAAGAGAAGGGAAAAGCATCATAATGATAATAGAAAATACTTCCTCTATTTTTTAAGTTATCCCAATTAGAGCATGTTTAAATAAAGAAGAAATTTAATTTAAGGAACGTTGAAAGTGCCAATTTCGTTTAATATTCGTCAACTGGTCATGTGGTCCAATTGGTTGGCCCCAAGCTTTAAGGTTTGGGTGAGGCGGAGGTCAGGGCTTCGAGCTCTGCTACCGCCGTGAACTCCACCAACTTGCGACCTAATGGTCGCGTGCCTCAAATGAGGGGGGTGAAACGTTCACTTTCCTGAAAAAATTCCAGCTGCTAACAAAATAACTCTACTAACTTCCTAACCATCTACCTGGTCAAAAAAAAAAAAATTTTCGTTTAATATTCTTAAGTTAAAGTAAATAAAATTGCTATCTCCACACCTCGCAGCTTTGATTGCTTTGATTGGGTGCAATTAAACTCATGATTTCGGTCAGAGTTCGAAACTGTAGTATGCAACCTCCTCTCTCCCCTTCACATTCCCCGTTAAAAAGAAATTGTTATCTCCAAATTTTATTTTTAAAAAATTAACTTAAATTTAATAGCTGACGTTAATACAACTACTTTTTTTATTAAATTATTTCTCTTTAAATTGAACAAAAAATTGAGGTCAGTAATTTAATTTGAACTAATTATTTAAAAATAATATTTTAGAGCAGCAATTTATTTTAACTTTTTTTTATTGAATGTTAATTTACTTCAGATAAAAAATATTAAGCGACAATTTACCCATTTAACCTTTAAAGAACAACTAAAAATGCAATGAAAATGCCTCGAAATATCTTATTTATCCTCAATATTTTTTTTTTATCAATAAGTTAAGAGTAATAGAGATGAATTTAAAATAAGAGCATTGAATGTATTTAAAAAATAAAAGGGCAAACAACTAAATGTGCATGTAGCTAGTATAAGAAACAAAAATGAGAAGCCATCAATTTCAGGTATAAAAGTTCTGGCCACCCCTAGAATGGAGAGCAAATTGCATCGAAGAATTCTCCACAAGCTATTCACTAAATAAAATGCAAAATTTGCCACGCTTAACAATGGCACAGCAATACGTGGATGGTTCAAAATGGGAATTCGATCATCTCCAGGCCTATTGGTTCATTACACATCATTAAATGGGAAAGAATAACAGGTGAAGAAGAATTTGCCCATTAAAATATGACGTGATTGCTTTGAATTTGACTAGATATACATTTAGGCTGCCCAAAGCCTTCATAGGAAATAAGATCTGTACATTACAAAACTGAAAGCTGAAACAAAATAGTCGCATGTTGTGTACGTAAGAGAAAACGAACAATTTGATTGCATCCTTCTATAGAATACCTCTATTGATGAAACAGTGGTTTCTTGCTGAGGAGTAACAAATTTATGCAGAAACAAAATTAGCCTGCAATAGAATGAGATCAGATTGTCAAAGTGAAGAAATTACATGATCTAGATAAGTAGATGTCACCTCTAATGGACTGGCCTCCCCTCTTCTCTCATGCCCCACTTTTGTTTTGCATTTATATTGACTTGGAAATTAACAGATTTTGTATCTGAAAACTAAGAACCTAAAAGTAATCTATCTTGATTTTACCCTCTTTTTTAAAAAAAAATTTATTCCCAAAATTTTGGAATAAAATCATTTATATAATAGTCTTTGACGTTCTTGTGTCTTGCAATCCATGCATACCTGCTTCTCTGCGATTAGTAAGGCTTGCAACACCTCTCATTGCTACCCTTCTTTTTAAAGTTGAGAGAATTGGAAGGAATACCATGCCCACATGTAAGTTAGATTTAGATACATATATTATGTAAGTCAACGGACAAGCATTCTGTATATTTCTCATTACTAAGAATGGCATTTACAATATAATTTTTTCTCTTTAGTTTTTGTTTGGAACGCTATCAAAAATTAAACAAATATCAAGGAGATTTTCAGTTTCCACACGACAAAAATCATTAACCCAGGGATTAACATAAGCGTGAATTCAAGAAATACCTACTACTACCAGATGTGCAGAAGTTACAAAAGGTGCACTAGTTCCATGGTTGTGATAAAGAGACACCCGACGTTGATGCCCCTAGTCCCTGTTTCCCATGTATAGCAGATTTCAGCACGTTGTATTGCTCAGTAATAGAATCATACAGTGCTCGCTTATATGCCTCCTTAACCTGCCAAAAGAAGCCAATTTGCTTTAAATTAATCAAAACCCAAAACATAAAAATATGTGCACAACTTCTCTAGAGAGTTGAAAATTATCCAAAGACATGGCAATGAGAGAATGTTCCACCATAAAAGAGGAACAAACTATGGACAGCCAGAACATCTCCGGTCAGATGGGATAATTGACGAGTTGCATAAACAAACAAATTTGACTGCAGGAAAAAATATAGAGTATTCTGATGTGATAGAAAGGTGATATGAAAGCTCTAATCTATATTTTATCCACAATACTTAAGAGAACACGAAATAAGGTGGTGATACGAAAGCTGAAGCCTACACTTTAGAATAGGAAGACATAAATTAAAATCGTGACCAACCTCTTCAGAGTTTTTATTAGATATGAAAGCTCAAGTCTATATTTTATCCGTATTACTTAAGAGAACATGAAATATACAGATGATATTAAAGCTGAAGCTTACATTTTAGAATAGGAAGACATGAAAATAAAATGGTGACCAACCTCTTCAGAGCTTTTATTAGTATCACCAACTTCAGGAAAGCTGATTACTGGTGCTACTGATAATCCAGCTCCATGGAAGGAGACAACTCTTTTCTCTCCAATTTCTTTTTCCACCTGGAAAAATGCCATTGAATCATGAGAGGAAAACTAAATAATCACAGATGAAAAAAAAAAAAAAAAGAGACAAAAACATACCTGGGGTGGAGGCGGCATGATATCATGGCACAATAAAGCCAAGGGGTATATATGCCCTGGAGGACCAGAATGTTCTACAAGCCTCCTCATATTGTCTACTGAAGAAGAATCAAAGGGTGCCTGACCCCCTCATATCAGTATGAACAAATAGGAAGGCATTACAAAAATAAAGTTGACCAATAAATTATTACTAATCAACAAGTTCAGATTTTTTTTTCCTTTTTTGGATATGATTAAGACACAAAGAAAACAAGCTACATAGCATAAGCTGACTTGATAACATTGAGAAAGAAGCACTGTAGTACAATGAAGATTTGGATATTTAGTGAACAGAAAAAGATGAGAGAAAAAATGGGTGCAAAAACTTACTGGATACCATTCTCCTGTATGGGTATCTGGGCGGTCCCTGCCACCACTTGGTGCAATCCATATGATTTGTGACCCACCCCTACAGCCAAGGATATTCAGTCATCAAAAGCTTTGTTAAAATCTTATCTTCATTAATGTTTTATGCTGTAGTTTTTTATCAGACTAGTACACAAGTGCTATTGAGGTACCTTAAAAGCAAAGCCATCTCTTTTAAACTCCGTGTATTTGCTTTTCTCTTCATCTCAACAAGCTCAGGAACATCAAGCATGTGTTTTTTCGAGTACACACATATTAAATTCCTAAATGCAAAGTTCAAAAATGTTTAAATATTTTCTTAACAGCTTATTTTACCATGGTCTAATCGTTTCTTTAAACTGCATGAATACCTTCCCATGCTAAAGGGCTTGCAGAGAGGATCCGTTATGACTCTATCCCCTGCTACGTAGGTCTGCAGCATACAATGCAAATTTTCATTAAGCAACAATTGCCATCACCAATGATGGACAAAATAGTAGGATCAGGAAAGCATATTTGAAAAAAACAGATACCAAATTCTCTGCAATATGTGGATTTGTCTTTTCAAGCAACAATGCAATAACAGCTGGGTCAGCTTCAGTTTGATGGTTTGATATCAAAACAACATTGTGACCCTGCAATTAAAATACAAAAGGCTGCGTCAAACGAAATGAAAGGAGAGGTTATAACCACCAGGATTTTGCCTGAGTCATTAACAAACACTTCACTTTGATTTATTGGTTTTTTCACTTGTGGCATGACTGAGCAACAAGTATTGTTGGTCTCTTGTTTCTGATTTTGTTCCATCTCACTTGCCATTTCAAAATTTTTGTACTTTCTAAATGATTTCATACAACAAATTGCAGCAAGTTTACAAAGACAAAATAGAGATTTTCCTGTTCAGCTATCCATTAATCTCAGACTCTCAGTCACATATTAATACCACTATACTCTCAGTTAAATTGACCCTTTAGCTTATGCAAGGAATATAACTGTAAATAAATTCCGCAAAATTAAAGATGTACAAGGACAGATTTGGTTGTATAAAAAAAATATTATAAATGTTATAAATTAAAAACAGGGGACAAATTAGCAAAACATACAAAGTTTTTAATGAAAAATTCACAAAATATATTTGTTTCTTGGTGCCTTATCTTGGCATGTTAACACATCTACCATCCATGTATCTTAGCATGCTGTTGTTGCTTGCAATTAGACTAAGCATGTAAATAGAAAAAATGTTCAAAGTAAATAAGTATCTTTAACACAACTCCCAAGTCTCAAGCTCTAATTTTGAATAAAACATTCCTAATTTTTAGTGTCTTTTAACAGTGAAAAGTGAAATACAAGAAAATTCAGTCAGATGCTTGCAGAAGAATGCAGGAAAAGGAGAATAAACCTAAATGTCAAGAACAGGCACCTGCTTAAGCTTCTCTTCAATTTCATAGAATAAAGGCATATTACCAACATATGAATTTCTGCAATGAAGAAATTACAATAATGTAAACACACAGAGAAAGAAAGAAAATCTTAATGACTTGATCCAATGACCAACCACTCCCACCCCTTGAAGCATTGTGCAAACTCAAACCATGCAAGTAAATGAAACCAATAAAAAAAAAAATTGTTGACATTGTCAACTCACCTGAAATCAATCAAAGGACGGATGTAGTTTTGACCAAACATGTAGTAGTCAAATGGCTCTCTCAGTGCTTTGTGATAAGGTGAGAAATCGTAAGGGACCTGGGAAATTACTTTCATTTTTCATACCAGAAGTTCGCATATAAACATGTAACTGGATACGGTATTTGGAATGGGAAGTTTACATATATTATAAGACAGAATAATATTGAGATGGTATTGTATTTAAAATTACCTCCACATCCAAAAGCACACGATCAAGTGCAACGGCCATGTTCGACAACACAATCTCATCTGCTCTAGGGTCTCCACTTTTGAAAACCTAAAGAGATAGCAATATGCAAAATAAACATTACAAATGATAGCTAGAAATGTAAACAAAATTGTAATACAGGTAAAGCAGATAATATCCTAGATGAACAAAATTTCTCCACTGTCCTTGTGTGGGGGTATCTAAAGAAAATCCCACAGAATATTGCTTGTTGTTTGGGCAAAAAAAACTTAAAAGTTAGAAGTAAACCACAAGGTGAAAACCAAAGCTTACTTTACCAAAATGTTACAGTGTTTTACAAACACCAAACAATAAAAAGCTTGCAGGGCTGCAAATTTTGAAATATGATAGCTTTCTTGCATCATAATACTGAACTTATGCAAGAGGGCATTCTACACACACATGGACTCTGCCGTCTTCTCGTTTAAATTCAAGTCCAAAGCGAGTTACAATTAGCAAGACAGTAGAATTTCTACAGAATCTATAGCACTATCCAGTGTTAATAACTTACATAATTTAACCCAAGCAGAATTTACACCTTGAATGTTAAGGCAATACAGATCTACACTACAGGACAACATACCGACTAAAAGATGAGCTTATTAAAGACATTAAAGACAGATCGCATTATATGGAGAAGGACAATGTTAGTTTGACCTTTGACTCCTCCACAGGAAGCAATTCAGTATATGGAAATAAAATGAATAAATAAAAGACCTAACATTTCTAGGAAAAAAACAAAGAATACGTAAAACGAAATGCGCATTTTAAGTATATTTATTTACTGCGTTTCTATAATTCTGATACAATTCTTCCATCCCTGCTGCAACATTAGGAGGCAACCTCCCTGCTTCTGCTTCCTTCTTGATTCCGTTTACGAGTTCTGTAAAGAAATGCACCTTCTATTTATCAACTGAACAAAAACGCGATGCATATCAAATTGAAAATCTCAAGATGCTCGCCATTCCCGTTCAAAATTTTCTCATCAACGAAGCGAAAAAATCACAAAGAAAGCGAACCTTGCTCGGTACGAGCGTCGACGAAAGTGCGCGAATGCTCAACCTCGCCCTCACTCTTGGAGGCGGCGATCGATTCCTTATCCTTAACCAGCTCCGCCATTGTCTTAGCCTCTAAGGAAGAGAACACGCACAGAAAACTCCCGGTGGATCTTCGCTGGCTAGATCGGAAGAAAACCGCAGTATGACGAGGAATCGAAGGGAATTTAAGCAGAGAAGACGACGACAGTGAGGGCAGGGAGCAGGAGGCGTTTGTTGTGGTGGTGGTAGTGAATGTGAGAGGCAAAGAAGACATTAGCTTAGACGAGAGGGTGAGATGGGAAACGTGAAGGAGAGGAAAATCATCTTTATCTACAGGGAGGAAAAATAATAATTATGGATTTTTATTTAATTTTTGGGTGGCGGTAGTGTAGCACGTGATTTTTCAGTCTCCGGAGGGCGGACGAGTAGGACATGGCTAACGTGTGGGGCATGGATTAGCGGGTTACCCCTTTTTCTCTGAGTTTTTTCCATTTGTGACCGTACGCCATGGAAGGTTTAAAAAGGTGAGAGTTGCCTTATTGGAATTTGGATTATGGTCCCCTATGTTTTATTTTCCTTTCATTTTCATCCTCATAGTGGAATGCATCTTTCTAGTATATTTGGTTTGAGAGGAGGGGAGGAGTGAAATTTTTTTATTTAATTAGCAAAAAATTTAGAAGGAAAGAAAGTACTTTATTTTTTTACTTTTAAAAATGAGTTGAGGGAATAGGAATGCAAGGAAACAAAAGGATATGGTTTTTTTTTTTTCCCTCTCATTCTCACATACTATTCAATTTTGGTAATACGAATTGCCAATTGCTAAAATAAAGGGAGAAGAATTGTCAATTGCCAAAATGAAGACAGAAGGATTGTCAATGGCCAAAAACAAAAGGAAAGGAATTGTGTGGTTTTGGAATTTGGTCGCATTAAACTTTATTAAATTAATTGTAATTTCACAATTAATTAAATAAGAAACATATTAAACATGCATTGCACAAAGATACACAAAAACAAAAAAGAATATAGAAAATAAGATGTGGGATGAAATTTGAGTTTGAATATTCAATAATAGACCTAGTCTCTACACAGTTGTGGTTGATTTGTGCAAGTCAAAATATTCTAATTATTTGACACTTTTTAATGGGAGAAGAATAATAGTTCTGGCATAGGACCAACAATAAAAGATGGGGGGACCGAAGTTGGGTAAATTTTTGCAGGTCAACGGCGCTTCTGGACCGATTAGGATAGCAAGCCCACAAGCATATGTGCATACAAAGATGCAATGCTCGTGAATAGCATAATATCACGGCCCAACCAATGTTTGGCCCATCTCACAACGCAAGACACACAATCAAGCATTTGGGAATGGCTATTAGCGCGAACTAAATTGTCAAGAATATTAAATTTATCTATATTCTTGTAAAATAAGGTGAAGAAGCCTGTAAATTCAAAAGAATGAGTCGCAAGTTTTGAGGCCTCAACAAATTGGCTTGTGGCACCAGTTTCTTTGCTCCCCACCTTAAATTTATAACCATGATCGCTGGTTTTAGAGTTAAGCAATTCGTGTTTCATTGTTAAAATACCGGTTTGATAAAAAGCATCCAGCCTAATAACCTATAGTTAGTGATGTTTCGTGCTTTTGATTCGGATTTTATTATTTTTTAAATCAATTTAATTTAATCGGTTAATAAAATTTTTAAACTAATTTAATCCATTATTACGTGGTAATCAAATCAATTCAATTTAAATCAGATCGATGTGGTTCGATCAGATTGATCAATTTTTAATATTATTAAATATATAAGATAATGTAAAAATATTTTAACATAAAATAGAAAGTATAATTATAAAATAAATTAACATCCAAATCAGTAAAAACATAATAATAAGTAAAAATTATAAACAAATTCTTATACTCCTTTATATTTGTAAAAATTGAAAAGCTTCAAAAATTATTCTTGGTTACATCACTAGAGGCACCAAAAATAATAAAAAATAACTTCAAATTTCTAGTACAACGTAAATAATTCTTAAAGATTAAAATTTATTTTTTTTCCTAATGCACTAATAATTTAATCACATTTTCTAATCCTATTAAAAGTGAATAACATTTAACATGAATATTACTAAAATAGATTAGAAGCATTCATAATTAAAATTTAAAACTTTTAAACAAAATATCCAAAAATAGTAGAATATTAAGACTAATTTTATTATATAGTTTTAAGACTTTTAGAATGATACTTATTTAAAATTTAGTTAGGACAACCATAAGATTATTTTAAGAATAAATTAGAAATTTAGAGTTCTAAGAGTAAAGGCGCAAACCAATTATGAGATAATAAAATTGTAAGTGAATTAGAAATTTAATAATAACTTAGGGAATATGAAAATGTTCTATTTTTATTTTTTTTAATTAAATTAATGAAGTTATAATCTTGTAAAATAAGAAAAAGAAAATTTAAAATACTACAAAAAATGTGTTATATTATTTAATTAAATTATCTTTTAATCGGATTTTATTTTGTTATTGGACAATTCAGCCGGTTTAAAGATAAAACCATAAACCAAATCAATTATATTGGTTTTAAAATTTTAAAATTCAAACCAATCCAATTTTATATTGGTTTGGATCGGTTTTTAACTAGATTGGATCAGTTCAGGTCGGATCAATCGAATTGGATCGAATATGAACACCCCTACCTATAGTAGATCATATATTACATTAATTCTTCAATAATTGGTAATTGATGTATATGTG